TCCAGGCGAGACCTCATCTCTACAATAAAATCAAAAAATTAGCCGGGCGTGGTAGCGCGCACCTGTAATTCCAGCTACTCGGAAGGCTGAGGCGGAAGGATCGCTGGAGCCCAGCAGGTCGAGGCTGTGGTGGCCAGGAGTGGCCACTGCACTCCAGTCTGGGCGACAGAGTGAGACTCCAACTCAAAAAAAACAAAAACAAAAATAAAAACTCTACTCTGAGGAAGGTTTTGACCTTTTCAGGACTCTTGTTCAATTTCAGTCTTTCAGATGAGATCTTTCTTGACCCACAGCCTTGGAGGGTCTCTTTTCAGGGATGGTAATGTTTCCCTGAAGACTGAATACTTGCTCTCTAAGAATTAAAGGGCTTGATCTTTATGAAGGAGAAACATTCTTCCGTGCCTTTTGATCTGAGCTTGATTTGGTCTTCTTGGAGTGTGTTAAAGTGGATGACCCTGGCAATTTCCATTCTTCCCATTGATGTCCTTGACCTACAAAAGCCATAAAATATTCAACTTCAAGTTCATTAATATTATTCCTTATTTACTTTCTCAGCTTCAGCAAAATCTGAAAAATCACTCCTTCTAAAAAATTTAGTTAAATTTTATGAATAGGTAGTACTTCACATAGTTCAGATTTGGAAAAGGCACAAAAATAATTACAGTGAAAAGTCTCAATTGCATGTCTTTCCCTGGTTCTCTTTGGAAAAGCCACTGTTAATAGTTTCTTGCTTATCCTTCCAGGGATATCTATACATGTAAAAAGAAGTATGTGTATGTGTGTTTATACAAATTATAGAATGGTAGATACACTACTTTGCATCTTGCTTTAGACAATAAGTGTACTTTCATCCAGATGGGAAAGTCTTAAGATTAGTACCAGAAAATCTTTATGAAAAGGAAACATTAACTGACATTTTGTTGAGGTTTTACCTGTTTTAAACTCACTCTATTTTCTGAGGCCTGTGAAATGACTGGGAGGAAGAGGTTCAAGTCAACAATCTCCACTCCTCACCCTTGCCCTGAAAAACCATTATCACTAACACAGTCTTCATTGGGCAGGGTGGGAAGTAGGTTTTAATTGTACTAATGAAGTCTATACGTGTGGATGTCAGCTTAAACAAGTACAGTTTTTTTGCTTGTTCACATCCTTTTGTGTATATACTCTGTGTTCAGTGACATTGATCTTGTGGTGTTTGGGAAGTGGGAGAACCTACCCCTCTGGACTCTGGAAGAAGCTCTTCGGAAACACAAAGTTGCAGATGAGGATTCAGTGAAAGTTCTAGACAAAGCAACTGTAAGTTCTTTAGCTGCTCGTATTAAAATCCCTTGTTACTTACTTTTTTTTTTTTTTTTGGAATCAGTCTCACTGTTACCCAGGTTGGAATGCAGTGGCATGCTCACAGCCACCACAGCCTTGACCTGCTGGGCTCAGGCAATCCTTCCACCTCACCCTTGCAAGTAACTGGAACCACAGGTGCACACCACCACACTTGGCTAATTTTTTGATTTATTGTAGAGACGCGATCTCACCAAGTCACCCAGGCTGGTCTTGAACTGGTAGGCTCAGGCAATCCTCTCACCTCCGCCTCCCAAGCAACTGGGACTATAAGCATGCACTACTGTGTCCGGCTAATATTTTTATTTTTTGTAGAGATGAAGTCTTGTTATGTTGCCCAGTCTGGTCTCAAACTCCTAGGCTCAGGTGATCCTTCCACCTCAGCCTCCCAAAGTGCTAGGATTATAGGTGTGAGTCACTGCACCCATCTCATACTTTTATTTATACTTTTTCATATTAAAAAAAAATCTTTATAGTGAGTATTACATATGATAAAATCAGGTATTATTTTGTAAAGAAATGAATAGCCAGAACAAATTAATCTGAGGCTGAGGTGGAAGGATGACCTGAGACCAGAAGGTTGAGGCTACGCTGAGACATGGTCATGCCACTGCACTCCAGCCTGAGTGACAGAGTGAGATGCTGACTCCAAAAAAAAAAAAAGGTGTGGATTTTTGTTAAACACTTCATAGTTACACAGAAGATGTTGCCATGCTATTCTGTCTTATTTTGTGTCCTTGAAAAATTGTATATAAGAGATTTTGTAAATCAGGTCATATTTTAACCATATCCAGAATGACTATTTCAAGAACTTTCGTGGAATTTTATTATAGAAATAAATATATGTTTTAGAAGTTGAATTTTTGCATGTTAGATTTTCTAAGAGCAATATACTTGAATAATTTCTTATGAAAAACTATTAATTTAGAGACCTGATTCTGCACACAAGGTTTGCTGACCCGAATTTTCTTTCTCTTTTTTTTTTTTTTGAGTTGGAGTTTCACTCTGTCGTTCAGGCTGGAATACAGTGGCACGCTCAGGGCCACCTCAGCGTTGACCTGCTGGACTCAGGCAGTCCTTCCACCTCAGCCTTCCAAGTAACTAGAACTATAGGCGCGTGCTGCCATGTCCAGCTAATTTTTTGATTTGTTGTAGAGATGAGGTCTCGCCAAGTTGCCCAGGCTGCTCTTGAACCTGTGGGCTCAGGCAATTCCCTTACCTCAGCCTCCTAAAGTACTGGGATTATAGGCTTGGACCACCGCGCCCAGCCCTGACCTGAATTTTCTAATGTGTGGTGCCTTTTAAAAAAGAACTCCTAATATCTCTTGTAAATTATTCTGTCAGCTTTTATTTGAGAATAATTCTTAGATTTTATCTTCTCTTGTTAGGTTGCTTTTTGGGCTATTTGCAAAACTGACCAATAATTTAAGTGGAATATTGCATGACTTAAGAATCTAGCAGTTTTAAAAATTATAAACAGTTTGATGATATAAAACATTATTGCCTGACATTTGTAATTTCTTTCTTTTTTTTTTTTTTTTGAGTTGGCTTCTCACTCTGTTCCCCAGGCTGGAGTACAGTATCCTCAACCTCCTGGGCTCTGGCAATCCTTTCACCTCAGCTTCCCAAGTATCTGGAACTACAGGCATGCACCACCACACCTGGCTAATTTATTTTTCTGTAGAAATGAGGTCTCGTTATGTTGCCTAGGCTGTTCTCAAACTCCTGGACTCAGGCAATACTTTCACCTTGGCCTCCTGAAGTGCTGGGATTACAGGCATGAGCCACCATGACCAACAATAATTCTTGATCTTATTCTGAATTGGAAACTGTTCTTCAAAGTATATAATGTTGAAAAGGTTTTTGTTCTATAATTTCAAAATTCTTAATATAACTGTATGTCAGCTAATGTAACTATATGAGGTGATTGTTATATTAATTTGCTTGACTCTAGTATCCCTTCAGTATGTATATCAAAATAACTCAAAACGTCATGTTGTAGACTTTAAACATGTACAATAAAAATAAATAATAAATTAATAAATCGGTAAAGTTTTTGGACACCAAATTAAACAAATAGCATTCTCAGTTGATAGAAATCACAAAATACATTGTATGAGGTTAAATGCTAAATATGTAACATAAGGTATTTGTAGAAGGCCAGGGTCACTGTGGTACATACAATTCAGAACATTCAGATTCTTATGTCCTCCTGACAAGGTAGAGACCTCAAGCCTTGTAACCTTCAGTCCTTGATTTCATCTGTTAATTTGATTAAAGCATTTACACTTTACTGTTCTTCTCTTTCTAGGTACCTATTATTAAATTAACAGATTCTTTTACTGAAGTGAAAGTTGATATCAGCTTTAATGTACAGAATGGCGTGAGAGCAGCTGACCTCATCAAAGATTTTACTAAGGTCAGAGAATGTATAGTGTTTATACAGTAAAACTAGTAAAAATGTCATTTTGTTTTAAGATTCTGTTGTGTTGATATTTTTATATACTTTTTGCTGACAAGTGCTTCTTTTCTATGCTATGATTTTACTTTCTTTGAATATGCTTGCAATGACTAATAGTTAACTTATAATGTGACCTCTAGTAAGAATTGAAGGTTTAGAAAGCTCTTGAGGAAATTCTCTGCTCTAGATCCTTCCACTTAGGGACAGAAGAGCTGAAACCATGCTTCACAGTTGATTCCTATCTGTTTTTTTATCCCCAAGAGTTCAGATTAAGAACCTTTCCTTTAAGAATTGCAGCTAGGACCCTCAGGTTCCCTCCCACTGTGGGAGCTTTCCTGTCCTTTCAATAAATCCTGCTTAAAAAAAAAAAAAAAATTGCAGCCAGGTGCAGTGTCTCAAACCTGTAATCCCAGCACTTTGGGAACCTGAGGTGGGTGGATTGCTTGAGTTTAACCCTAGCCTGGGCAACATAGCAAGTCCTCATTTCTACAAAAAAATAAAATAAAAAAAAAAAAGCTCTGTGCCTGGGTAATTAAGGTGGTTACTGCAGATTTCCTTACTTCTATCTTGAAGGGATTTAAGTTTATTTCTATTTATTTGTTGTGTTTTCTTCCAAAGTAGGGAAGAACTTTTCAACATGATCTTCATCATCACTTTGCATACTTAGACAGGGTCAGCTTTTCCCCAACCCACAAGCAAAAATCATAACTACTTTTTTTTGTGCCAGGTTTTATTCTGTCTCCAAGGCTGGAGTGCAGTGGCAGTTCTTCTACCTCAGTCTCCCAAGTAGCTGGGACTACAGGCACATGCCACTGTGCTAGGCTAATACACACACACACACACACACACACATATATAATTTTTTTTTTTTTTTGAGTTGGAGTCTCACTCTGTCACCTAGGCTGGAGTGCAGTAGCACACACTCATGGCCACCACAGACTCGACTTACTGGGCTCAGGCAGTCCTTCCACCTCAGCCTTCCAAGTAGCTATAACTACAGGTATGTGGCACCATGCCCAGCTAATTTTTGATTTATTGTAGAGACATGGTCTTGTCAATTTGCCCAGGCTGGTCTTGAACCCCTGGGCTCAGACAATCCTCTCACCTCTGTCTCCCAAAGTGTGGGATTATAGGTGTGAGCCCCTGTGCCTAGCCTATATATATATATATATATATATATATATATATATATATAAAATAAATAATCATAAATTAATAGCAAAATATATATTTTTTTCTAAGTTGGGGTCTCACTCTGTCCCCCAGGCTAGAGTGTGGTGGCATGATCATGGTTGACCACAACCTTGACCTCTGGGGCTCAGATGATTGATCCTTCCACCTCAGCTTCCCAAGTAGCTGGGACTACAGGCATGTGCCACCATACCTGGCTAATTTTTTTATTTTTTGTAGAGATGAGGTTTCACTATGTTGCCCAGGCTGGTTTCAAATTCCTGGGCTTAAGCAATCTGCCTGCCTTGGCCTTCCAGTGCTAGAATTACAGGCGTGAGTCACCTTACCTGGCCTAATTTTTTTTTTTGTAGAGACAAGGTCTTGCTGTGTTGCCCAGGCTTGTCTTGAACTCCTGGACTCAAGGCAGTCCTCCTACCTCAGTCTCAGAGTGCTGGGATTATGATTGTGAGCCACTGAGCCTAGCTGATTTGGCTTATGTAGAATGTTTTGTTTTTTTTTTCTTTAGCAGCTATACAGTTTCTATTTTTTCTTTTTTTAAAAAAATACTAATTCCTATATGATGTTGTAAGCATTATTGTCCTGTATAAATGTGCAGCAGATAGAAAAGCTGAAGAAAAAAAGAGATGTTATCAAGGTCCCATTCTTTTGGAGGTGGTGGTGTATGTGTGCATGTGTGTAAATTTTCTTTTTCTAGAAAAAGCAACTTTTAAAAATTGATAATAATATGCATGGCAACAAACTTAACACTATAAAAGGATGGTGAAAAGCGAGTCACCCTAATTCTTTGTGACTTAGATCCTCATCAACTGTTTTTGCCTTTTTATCTTAAAAATTTTTAGCATAAGGACTAGCACACTATGTACACATTGGCTTATACTTTTAAAAAAACTTACTATTTTGTAGCTGTTTCCTATTGGTACGTACAGGCCCACTTTATCTTTTTGTTGTTTGTAATCAGTAGTCCTTTGTCAGGATGCTTTAGATTTGAGTTATCAGCTCCCCGTTGTTGTGTCCAGGTTTTCTTTTGCCATTACACAAAGGGCTTGGGGAACATTCTTCCAGACATGCATCCTTCTTTACAATGTCAAAATGTTTGTAGGAGGGTTCCTGGAAGCAGAACTTCTGGGTCAACGGGTATGTCCAGATAAATTCTGTTGGTATTTGCCTATTGCTCTTTAAAAAGGGGACTGTATCTAGTCTGACTTCAACCATAATGTTTAATAATACTTGTCTGTATTTTTGTTGTTCTTTCCCATGCTAGCTTACTTGATATGATTTGCAAAAGAATAAACCTTTCTCTTTCTTATGGAAGTCATACGTGTTCACTGTGGGAAGTCTAGAAAACAGCTAAGAGTAGAGAAAAAAACAGAAATCACTAGTAATTCCACCACCCATGGGTAATAGTTGTTACAATGCCTTTTGAGATGTTTGTGCCTGCTGTGTTTCTTCAGTGTCCCCAGGCTAGGGCCTGGCTTGTAGGAAGAACGAGTGCCTATGAGCAGAGTGAAAGATGGACTCACACTGCACAGACTCACCAGCTCCAGTGTTCACACCACCAGCACTACCTCATTTTCTGTCAAGCATGGAAAGAGGGAGGGAGAATCTGTGTGGTCATTGGCTCACATGCAAGACAGTAGGCAGGACTGTTCCTGCTCTGGGAGCTGTGGCAGAATAATCTAAAGGACCCTGGTCTCCAGTGGAGCAACACCTAAGAAAAGCGATTTTTGAAAACCCGGCTGACTGCTCTAAGATATTGAGGGCCTGTGTCTTTGTTTCTGTTAAATGAGTATCATAGAGTCATGGTCATGAGTGAGCATCCTGTTAGTGTTTCTGTCCTGCAGTGAGTGCTTGGGTGCCATTATTTATGTGTACATTTGCAGATTTTAGATGGGATGTTAAGATCCTTAGTTACTTCTAGCTTACTTTTTTTTATAGCTTACTCTTAAAATAGAAAGTTAGGGCTGGGCTTGGTGGCTCAACCTGTAATCCCAGCACTTTGGGAGGCTGAGGCAAGTGGATTGCCTGAGCCTGCGGGTTCAAGATCAGCCTGGGCAACTTGGCAAGACCTCATCTCTACAGTAAATCAAAAATTAGCTGGGTGTGATAGCGCATACCTATAGTTCTGGCTACTTCAAAGAATGAGGCAGAAGGATCGCTGGAGCCCAGCAGGTTGACGCTGGGGTGGTCATGAGCATGCCACAGCACTCCAGCCTAGGTGACAGAGTGAGACTCCAACTCAAAAAAAAAACAAACATAGCAAGTTAAAGCCGGGCTCGGTGGCTCAGCCTGTAATCCCGTGCCTTTGGGAGGCTGAGGTGAGTGGATTGCCTGAGCCCGTGGGTTCGAGACCCGCCTGGGCAGCGAGACCTCATCTCTACAATAAATCAAAAAATCAGCTGGGCGTGGTAGCGCATGCCTGTAATTCTGGCTACTTGGAAGGCTGAGGCGGAAGGATCGCCGGAGCCCAGCAGGTCGAGGCTGTGGTGGCCGGGAGTGGCCACTGCACTCCAGTCTGGGCAACAGAGTGAGACTCCAACTCAAAAAAAGAAAAAAAAAAAGAAAGTTAAGTGTATTGCATATCTCCCCAAAATTTTGTAATGAAACAGTTTGTGCCCCTGTTAATATTTATCCCTGTTACTGATCCAGGGATTTATTGGAAATGTCACTTACTTCTTTTTCAGAAATATCCTGTATTGCCATACTTGGTTTTAGTGTTGAAACAATTCCTGTTACAGAGGGACCTTAATGAAGTATTTACAGGAGGAATCGGTTCTTATAGTCTCTTTTTAATGGCAGTCAGTTTCCTTCAGGTAAGTTGCATGGATATACATGCTTGGAATATATAATAAAAGCAAAAGAGATCTAATTGGAAAGCTTTCCTTGACTGCTTTTCCCTTTATACTGGGTATGTTTGTATTATTTAGCAAATAAATATTTAAAAATCCCTAGGAAAGAATATTTTTTGTTTTTGTTCCTATATGTTTTCATATTTTTGAGATTTTTTTTAATTGCATATTTTAGCATGTAGGAGGTATGGCCTGGTTTCCATAAGCATAAAAAGTAGTATAAATGCTAAAACTAAGAATGTTTTCTAAGCAGCTAATCTAGTAAGCTTAGTTGGAATTGAGATGTGCTTAGTATTATAAATGGGTATGCTTATGTGGCGTAGGGGTGCAGGGTTGCCAACTGCCTGAGTCTACTTGTGAGTCAGAATGACTTTGCTCTTGTGTTAGGCCAAACCAGCCCTATCAGCGTCCAGGGGCAGCCGTATAATTCAGCTTTACAAACTGTCTCCCATCAGTTCCATACCATGAGGCTTTCATGTTGTCTGTAACAGAAGTACAACCTGCTATTACCTCGTTATCTATTAGCTGCTATGTTAAACCAAATTGTTATAGAAGTTAGGATATCATTTATACACCACCCCTTGATAGTTTCGCAAAAATCCAATCTAATTTCTTTTCTTTTTTTCTTCTGTTTTTAGTTACATCCCAGGGAAGATGCTTGCATCCCCAACACAAACTATGGTGTTCTCTTAATAGAATTTTTTGAATTATATGGACGACACTTCAATTATTTAAAGACTGGCATCCGGATAAAGGATGGTGGTTCATACGTGGCCAAAGATGAAGTGCAGAAAAATATGCTAGATGGCTATAGGCCGTCAATGCTTTATATTGAAGATCCTTTACAACCAGGTATTGAAATTAGGTAAATTTGAGGGCATTCACAGAGAGGGTGTTGCCAGTCACCTTGTTGTATTTGAAATTCTCTTTAGATGACAAATGAAGGAATAACTTCTAATTGTAGCTATTTGTTTTCATCAAAATATTTCATAAATCTACCAAAATAAACAGATATACACACACCAGAAACCTTGTAGACTTTCAGATGAGTTGGTAGTTGAATCCGATTGACTCTCAAACCAAAATAGAATAGGTGTTCCTTTAATTGGATGGGTTCATGTGTGTTGCCAATTGGATGGCGACTTTTCCTTTTCCTTGGGTCTTCATTGCCCGTAAGTCTGACCAGTTGTCAGCAGAGCTTTAGCGAGATGATCTGAAGTCCTTCGAGGCAGCAAGTATAGGAGTGTACCTCTGAATTTATGAGGAAGAGGGTTCAGGGAGACAGTTTGTTTTCCTTTTGATCTCTTCTTTCCTCTTTAATTTTATATGGTCTCCTTGTGCTTTTTCCAGCTTTGTGTTGGCATGAAAGTAAAACAGAACATAAATTCCTCCCATGCTTTCACAAAGTTGTGTTTGCTGGCTTGTATCCTTGTTTTGGGGGCAATATTTTTTCCTGATATAATTGTAAGTCATTTAGATTCTGCATTATCAGACTTTTGTGGAAGTGCTTTAGTCATTTGGTTTAAGATGTGAACTTTGAAAATGAGGAGAAGCTGGGCTCGGTGGTTCAGCCTGTAATCCCGCGCCTTTGGGAGGCTGAGGTGAGTGGATTGCCTGAGCCCGCGGGTTCAAGACCCGCCTCGGCAGCAAGACCTCATCTCTACAATAAATCAAAAACATCAGCCGGACGTGGTAGCGCGCGCCTGTAATTCCGGCTACCTGGAAGACTGAGGCGGAAGGATCGCCGGAGCCCAGCAGGTCGAGGCTGCGGTGGCTGGGAGCGGCCACTGCACTCCAGTCTGAGCGACAGATTGAGACTCCAACTCAAAAAAAAAAAAAAGAAAAAAAGAAAATGAGGAGAGAGAGTGAAGAGACACAGTGGTCACCTGGGAACCCCTTCTGGCTTATTAAGCTGCCTGAGAAACAGTCATCGTCTATGTGCTTTTAATTGAGGAAACACTCATTGGGAGCCTGCTCTGTGCAAGAGCATGGATAAGGCAGAGGACACAAATTTTTTCAGAAAGATGATCCTAGCTTTTTTGGAGCTCATAACTTAGTGTGGGAAATAGAAACCAACAAAATATATAGTTACTTCTAATCTAGCTTGTTTCATACTTAGTAAGGAACAGGCAGGTATTTCTTATTTGCATGACTATTTACGTATGGGTTAGGATAGTTATTGAAGGGTCAGAATACCTGAGCCATAATGAAGTGCTGACTGCATGGTGTACATGTCCAGAGAACAAGGACAGTGGGATCCCAGCTTTTGGGTGCAGCTCTCTTGGGGTAGTGGTTATTTGCTGGAGGAAAAGTTAGTCAATATTCAGCTCATATTATGCAGCAGCCAAATTTACTATGTTATATATACATTTCTTTTACAGGTAATGATGTTGGAAGAAGTTCCTATGGGGCCATGCAAGTGAAACAGGCCTTTGATTATGCCTATGTTGTTTTGAGTCATGCTGTATCACCAATAGCCAAGTACTATCCCAACAACGAAACAGAGAGGTAAACATTCAGCGCAAGTCAGCCCATTGTGTCAAAATTGGTTGTGGCTTCATGTCATCGAATTAATGTCTCCCCCCCTTTTTTAAACACTTGCAGCATATTAGGTAGAATAATTAGAGTAACGGATGAAGTCGCCACGTATAGAGACTGGATATCAAAGCAGTGGGGCTTGAAGAACAGGCCTGAGCCTTCATGCAATGGTAAGATGTTTTCATTGATCAATTGACCCATATTAGAGGCTTTTCTGTGTTGTGTGTGTTTAATGGGAAGAAACGTTTTCCAATCTTTTGCCACTCTTTCAGGAAATGGTGTTACCTTGATAGTAGATACTCAGCAGTTAGATAAATGTAATAATAATCTATCTGAAGAAAATGACGCCCTTGGAAAATGTAGAAGTAAAACTTCGGAATCCCTTAGTAAACACTCTTCAAACTCTTCATCAGGTCCAGTGTCCTCCTCTTCCGCCACGCAGTCCAGCTCCAGCGATGTTGTAAGTATGAAACGCGGCCCTTCTCAGCTCAGGCGCGTGCACGCTCTCTTCTGGGGTCAGCTCTGTCTAGAAGGCTAGCGCTGCCTCCTTATCTGTTACTGGGAAGTTTCATTCACCTTCATGCTTGTACTTTCTCTCAGTATTTCATTATGAAACTTTAAAGTATACAGCAGAAGTGAACACATTTCAGTGAACATCTATGTACCTGCCTTAGCTTCTGCCATTAGCATTTACTTGCTTACCACATACCTAGCCATCTATCCATCACTGTATTCATTAATTCATCTTATTTTTTGATCCTTTTCACTGTAGATTGTAGACATCAATACACTTTCCACAAAAGACTGTAGCTTACATATCATTACCAGACTCCAGCATTTGTTTATAGTTTTTCCTTTTGATATAAAATTGATATATAAGGACATCTTAATTGTATAGACACTAAATTTTATCAAACACTTATACATGTGTAACCCCAAATTCTAATAAAATACAGAATATTGCCATCAGCCCAGAGACCTCCCTCATGACACTTTCTGGCTAATCATCAACCACCTACAGAGGGAATCACTCTTAGGATTTTTTTTTTTTGAAAGCAGGATTTATTGAGAGGACAGAAAAGCTCCCACAGTAAGAGGGGACCCGAAGGGGTTGCCCACTCTTAGGATTTTCTAACACCATAAATTTGTTTTGCCTATTTCAGAATTTCATATAAATGAATTCACAGAAAATATATACTCTTTTGTGTAAGGCTTCCTTCACTTAGATTGCTTTTGAGCTTCCTGATTGGATTTCTAAAAATTGAAATATAATTTATATAACATAAAGTTTATCATTTTAAAATGTACAGCTCAGTGGTTTTTGTTGTTGCGTTGTTTTTTGAGTTGGAGTTTCACTCTGATGCCCAGCGATCCTTCCGCCTCAGCCTTCCAAGTAGCCAGAATTATAGGCATGTGCTACCACACCTGGCTAATTTTTTTGATTTATTGTAGAGATGAGGGCTATCCAAGTTGCCCAGGCTGTTCTTGAACCTGTGGGCTCAGGCAATCCCCTCACCTCAGCCTCCCAAATTACTGGGATTACAGACTTGAGCCACTGCACCCAGCCAACTCAGCGGTTTTTAGTGTAGTCATGATGTACAGCATCTCCACTATTTCCAGAACATTTCCTTCACCCGCAAAAGAAACTGTGTTTAGTTGTAGTTTCTCTTAATTCTTCCTTCTGTTATCCTCTGGCAACCTCTAATCTACTTTCTGTCTAATCTGACAGACTTTTTTTCCTTCTGAATATCCTCATAGAATTTTAGGTGTTAATTATAACTTATTACTCTGAAAAATCAAGGTTAATTTTGAATTTACTTCATTGAGATTTTTAGTGGGCTTACCTATTTCTTGGATTTAACTTTATTAAGTGTATGAAATAAAAATAATCTAAATATGTAAAGGACATAATTGTATGTTGTTTATGATCACCATGTGTCATTATGGAGACATAGACTGCACACAGTCTATATGTCTGCCTTTGTGATTCCTAGAGCAGCATGCTCTGGAGGACAGGTGTCAAGCTGGATGTCACAGATACATGGGCTGAGTGAAATGTTAGGGACTGAGAGGGTACAGCCCAGACATCAAGGTGGAGTGCCAGGGCCAAGGGTGGAGACCTGAGGAGAAATAGCACACTCATGGCTCAAGTAGTCCAGAAGGAGGCGGGGCTCAGCCCACTGTTTATGGGAAGTTCATACCTACCTCATGGTGTGTTTGGTTGGAGGAATCACTGATTGGTCATCACAGACTCTCAGAGATTGAACCTGTTAGACCCATCATCTTATGTTTGATTGAGGCTAAGCACTGGGACCTATGTTCCTTACTCTTTACCATGCTCTTTCCACTATACCACCATCCATCCATTTTCTTTCTTTTATTTTTTTTCCCCCAGACAGGTTCGCACTCTGCCGGGCTGCAGTGCAGTGGCATGATCTCAGCTCATTGCAGCCTCTCCTGGGCTCAAGGCATCCTTCTGCCTCAGCTTTCTGAGTAGCTGGGACTACAGGCATGCACCTGTGTGTGTATTTTTTGTAGAGACGAGGTCTCACTATGTTGCCCAGGCTGGTCTCAAACTCCCGGGCTCAAGTGATTCTCCTGCCTCAGCCTCCCAAAGTACTGGGATTACAGGCATAAACCACCATGCCTGGCCTACAATCCATTTCCTGAAAATCAATCAATCAATCAATCAATCAATCAAAGAAACCTAGATGTCTGTGAGCTCCTTCTAGGTCAGATGTGGGCAATGGATTTATCAATGAACAGAAGCCCTCTTATAAAATGTCACTTTAAATGTTTGGAGGAAAACTTCAGCAATTAATTTTGTAAATTCCTTGGTGTGCTTCCTTTAATTTCCAAATGTTTAATCTTAGTCCAGAGAGTACTTAGTTGAAATTGCTTTTCTTTCTGAATATCGAGTCTCTAAATGACTAACATGTCACCTTGTAACTCATGTGACTTGTATTAGGATTCCGATGCAACACCATGCAAAACCCCAAAACAGCTGCTCTGCCGTCCGTCCCCTGGGAACCGAGTAGGGTCCCAAGATGTGTCCCTGGAGTCCTCTCAGGCAGTCGGGAAGATGCAAAGCACCCAAACCACTAACACATCCAACAGCAGCAACAAGTCTCAGGTGTGTGGAATTTTTGTTTTTGTTAGGATTCAATAGAAAAATGTAGAATTTTTTATATGTGAGTGGTGTATATATCTTAGACTTGAAGACACTGAGAACAGACTTACTTTGTTCTCAGTGGTTCTAAAGCATGACAGTGCTTCTAGTGGCAGGATGTTTGAGGGTCTTTATGAGACTCTATTTAACATAAAGCTCTGTGGAATTTAGTGACTGGGCCTTCTGAGATGTTCTAGCCAATCTACCGTATTACAGATTTATCATAAATTGCATCTAGTTATAAAAAGACTTTGATTGTACTTGAAATAAGTGTACGTGAACCTTCTGTGAGGCTTCATAGCAATGTTGTGCACATCTGGGAATAATGTATCTTTTTTATTATTTTAATATTCGATACCTAGTTGTCTGTTGAAATGATCATGTAGGTGTCAGGCGTGGTCAGTTGATTAACATCAGCTTTGACTTAAGACCACAAAGATGCTCTATTTTAAATTTTTTAATTGCCTAAAATTGTTATTAACCATGAATCAGAGAAAGGGGAGGAAGCCTTCGATACTGGGCTGTGGCCTGAGGTCATTTTACCCTCTGAGTATAGCTGGGACCCGGGGAAAAGGCCTCTTGGCGTTAGAGATTACTGTCGTGTCAGTCACCTTGTGTCCAGTTTGACTCACTGAGTTGACTTTACTGATGCAACCTTAGCCATGTGTGCCAAACACAGACTCATTGAGAAGTCCCAGTTCAAGTGACAGGGCTGACAGAAGGGACTAGGGTCACAAGAAAGCCACTAGTGATGGAGACCAGAAAAAGGGGCCAGCATGCTGACCCCCTCCTGTGTATGTCTGAGAGCCTCTTCCAGGAGTGGGACTTAGCATGCGGTATATGGGCAGGTAGGGCTGGTGGAAGTTTTACATCCCACATTCTCTGTTAAGAAGGCAAGCTAGTGGCATGTATCTTTCACTGTTCCATTAAAATAACATGTTAGAGCAAACGAGTTAACCCCATAACATCCTGTTCTGCTTGTCGGGTAAGTCAGTGATCAGTATGGTACCTCTCTGTCCAGTATACCTGAAGTCAGGTCTTTGGGAACACTCTGCTAACCCCAATACTGATGTCTTTTTGACTGCTTTCTTTTTCTGCAGCATGGATCAGCAAGGCTCTTTCGTTCTTCCAGCAAAGGCTTCCAAGGTACAACTCAAACAAGCCATGGTTCCTTGATGACAAACAAACAACATCAAGGCAAATCCAATAATCAGTATTACCATGGCAAAAAGAGGAAACACAAGAGGGACGCAGCCCTCTCAGACCTGTGTAGATAGTTGGCGCTGTGCAGCGGACTATCTTCTCTGTGCAGTGATCTCGTGCTCAGGACAGTCGCGCAGGGACTCCTGGGAGACATTCAGGAGCCTCACACTGTTCAGACGTTGATTTAGCAACTGCATTTTTTCCCAGCTCGCCACGGAATGGATCATGAAGACTGACAACTGCAAACACAAAAAAGCAAGCAAAAAAGGGGGAAAAAAAGGCTGCTTATTTGATAAGTCATATGCTACAACAGGGTCATTTTAAGATTTAAAGCTTGAATGTAAAATATATTTCTCATTGGCTTTATGCAGAATTATAGGGACTAGTATTCAGTGTGGGTAGGATGATAGACATAAGAAACAATTTCAGAAGATGGGGTGGGGAAGGAAAGCAAAGGCATCTCATAGGAAGTCCAGATTCCAGCGGGGAAAGTGATCTGTGCATGTTGTTTTTTTAAAATATTTTTGCATATATTTACCATTTTATTGTGTGTATATATAGAAGACCATATAGGAAATTGATATTTGTAATAGTGGATTTGTTAATACTTTTTACATAACATTACTGTTTAAATTGTAAACAGATTTTTTCTCAGGATTAGTTTGAAAAATAATCTGAATTGTCATCTTAACATCCATATATAGGGAAGTGATTAGTTCTATTACTCAATTTGTTTTTCTCAGCATTGAAATGACTTAATAGAACCCTTGTGTCCTGCTGCAAAAATTTTTCCTCTCTAAAGAAAAGGTTTATGGTGGCAAATAATGTTTATTTTATTTTGTAAAAAAAAAATGTACTACGTACTTTTGTGTAAACACTGAAAAATCTCTAGTCATCTCTGAGAATTAACTTGCAGCTGTTTCTATAGTGCTGTTGTCTTGGGCAATGGGCAATTACATGACTTTGTGTTTGTTTCCTTTGCAGTCTTTTTTTTTTACCCCCTGCTTCTTCCTAATAGGAACAAAAAGGCCACCCGCGTCTGGTCTCATTCCTGTTGCAGTGGAACTCCGAGTTCCACAGACTTTGCATGCTGGCTCCTCTAACCCCGTGTGCTGCGTGTGCTTGTGTTCTCATCTCTTCTTCTTTTTAAATTCATGCTTAACTACTGTGGGAGAGAATAACTGTAAACAGCTTTAATTAAATCATACTTACAAAAAACTATTTTCTTATACTCCACTTTATGCTTTTGGTATTGTTGATCTTTAAAAATTAAATGGTCTTTGATAATGGATCTATTTTGTATTGCCTTATTAAGACCAAATACTTCTTGTCATCCCATTCTTTATCCTTTCCTTTCATGGAATTGTTATCTTTAATTAAAACTTTTTAAACATTTGCTTGTTTCAATCATACTGTAAATTTTGGTTGTGGTCAGCTTGGAGTGCAAATGAGATGTAAAATTCTGTTATTCATTACCTGTTGAGTTTGAAACTCAGTTGGGAATATTTAATATAATAGAATGTAAGTGACATTTCTGAAAATGCTTTCTTTCAAGGTGAAAGTTCCTATGTTTAGCATCAGTGTGTGTGGCTCTGTTAAATACAGCCATTTCTGAGATGAGATTCTTTTATATATATACATATAAAGTACTATTGGCTTTTAGTAATTTCTTTTATATACATTTATGAAGTATTGAAGACCAATCAGACCATGAATGGACACTTAGTGCAACTTTTTAAAAAGACAATAATGCTAAAGTAAGACCAAAACTGATGTCATCACTGAAATTAACAATTTTCAATATGTTCGTATTTTAATTCACAGTGGAAAAATTGTTCCAAAACTGGAAACTCATAGTACTTGTGTAAACCGTGGAAGATTTTAAATGTGATGTTATTTTGACAATGTTTTAAATTTTAGAATCACATTTTATTCTGATCAGAATTTTTATCAAAATGTTGCGCTTTTGTTTTTTGAAACTAGTTTGTCATAACATGTTGTGCATATAATCACAGTATTTATTTTCTAGGACTATTGTGAATGTGTAGACTTATGTTTACTGCTAAGGGAACAATTATTTATAAAATAATATTAAATCCAGTATTAGCTGCCTATTTCAGACACTTAATACCTGCAGAAATCCATGTTACATTTACCACACTGAAGTTTTTTGTTTTTTTTTTTTAAAGAATCACCCTCATTGTTGAAAGTAAATGTACTCTTAGGGTGCGAATATTAGTGTTCAATAAGCATGTGATTATATTAAGGTGGTGGTAGCGGGAAGATCATCTTGATTCCATTGGGAATCTTAGGTTTTCGTAAATTTATTGGGAAAATAGTTTTTCCTGTATTGCTAAAGTTTCTTTTTGGTAAACAGTATCTTTCTAAAAGAAAAAGCATGAAGGAGAATTGAGGTGTGTATACATTTCCTCAAATGACCAGCATTGTATTCGTGAATACTGTGTATCTTGCAATGAACAGTGTGGAAGCTGTTCATTTTTCAATCTGAAGTAAAATACTTTCAAGAACTTTTAGTTTGCCTGCTCATTTGTTTTGTACATTTCATCTCTGTACTTGACTCCTTTCTTATTTCTTTTTTGTTTTAATACTTTTTATAAAGACTTTGTAGATATATCAGAAATGTATCATTTAAATACTACAGTCCATTCATATCCATAAATCACAATCTTCCCTTGCTAGTGTTTGTGGAATGGGAATTTGAAAATTCCACCTCACTGTGGTGACTTTTCTCTGGTGGTCATGTATGTGTACCTGGTCATAAGAAACATCTGAATACTGGTTTTTAAAGGTGCCAATGGGTTGACAAGGTGTCAGCAGAAAACCTGAGTGGTTATATTTCAATGATAAAGATAAATGCATTTATTTCCTCCAGTTTTAGGGTGTCCACGGAGGTGCCTGGTTTTTAGTGTCTTTTGTGTGGATATGTGGCACTTGCTCAGTGGGGTCTCTGCTCTTCACATGTGGTTGCCCTCCAACGGTGTCATCTGTTGACTGTTACATTTTTGTCCTATTTTGAGTATATATTATGCTGACTTGTATTTTGAGCTCCTCATGAATATTGAGGGTTTTTAATTTGGCTCCAGATACTCCTAAATAAAGTTGCAAAGAGCAAAACATGGGCATGGGGGAGTATTTTAAATTTTAATCGTCTTTTTCCTCTGGAACCATGCATTTTCTTCCTGCACCCTCTCCCATGTAGTGTTAAATGTGAGTTGTGTTTGCCTCATCCTGTGGACTGTTTGGAGCTTCTGGAAAAAGAAAGGTCAGAAGAGAATATGACTGCTGTGAAGTACAGGACCCTATTGCTATAAGGTGTTCATTGCAAAGCCCTCCGAATGCCTACTAGATGGCAATAGCAAGATTGCTTGGCAGAAATCTCTAGAAGTCACCATTATTAGGTATTACTGATGAGTGTTGATGATATTTTTATTGGTTATGACTATATCTCCTCAATTTTAATACTGATCTATAGTTAGAAACAATTCTAACGGTATTTATCAGTGTTTCAGTCATTAGTTGGTTGCTTCACAATTATCTTTCCAAAAATTTAATGGTTAACTATAAAAAAAGACATTTCCCAATTTTGCTGTGATAGTGAAATGTTAAAATTAATGATCAAAAGAATTCTCATCCATCTAGTCTTACTTGCCTAGCTCATTAAATTGTTTCAATTAGAGGAAAGCACATTCTCAAAGTATTTTGTGAGCAAAATAGTCTACAAATGACTCTAGTAAACAATCAGAATCATAGTAAAATCATAGTAAGATACTTAGAGAATGATGTGGCATTAAAGTGGGAACAAAGATTTGTAAAAGTAATTCCTTGAAAGTGTCTTTGTTTTGCTTGGCTTCTAAACCTTAAGAGTCTAGCTATCTGCCATTTTGTCAAAACATTTAAGGGTGTAATGAATGTTAAAGAACACATTTTAATATGCTTCTTGATAATTAACATAGTTAAGTAACAAGCCAGATTTTACTGTGGAAGTTGTTTACATGACTTGAAAACTTGAATTAACTCAAAGCATTTTGTTTGTTTGTTTGTTTGTTTTGAGTTGGAGTCTCACTCTGTCGCCCAGACTGGAGTGCAGTGGCCGCTCCCAGCCACCGCAACCTCGACCTGCTGGGCTCCGTCAATCCTTCCGCCTCAGCCTTCCGAGTAGCCAGAATTACAGGCATGTGCTACCACGCCCGGCTGATTTTTTGATTTATTGTAGAGATGAGGTCTCGCTGCCCAGGCGGGTCATGAACCCGCGGGCTCAGGCAATCCACTCACCTCAACCTCCCAAAGGCGCGGGATTACAGGCTGAACCACCTGAACCCAGCTCGAAGCATTTTTCTCAGTCATCTTCTCCTGAGTTGTCTTGACTTCACACCTTAAATAACTTTTTTCGGATAAAAAATAATGAGCTAAATATATGTAGAAATTGAATGTTGACAAGATTATTAACCAGAAAAATTGCACATAAAGTCTACTGATCAATTTGATATCCAGAATTAAATATTTAAGAACCGTTATTAGTTAATAAGTTGCTAATTTTTGTTATGCTTGTTTTACTGTATCTCAGGTTTTTTAAAAAAATGTATTTAGTCTTTACATTTACTACTTAACTGAGCTTAACCTAGTCCATAGTCCAGTAGCCTGAAAGAGATAACACTTGAAGGAGGCTGAACCAGCAAGATGGAGATAGTGCGCCCCTTTGGTTATTATAAACCCAAGGTATCTCCGGGATTTACTGGGAGACATTTTAGGTGTGTCAGTAAGAACAGATGATAATAATAATGTGGAAATCAGATGTTCTCTTAACTTGTGTATTTCAGTGAAGGTTTTTATTCATATTCACATATCATCTCTGCATTTTAACTTGGGTCTCTGGCTCCACACCCTGGGCTGCCTTTCACTGTACCAGCTTCTACGTGGCCTGATGGTAGGGAAGGTTTCCACTCAGGGCACAGTCTGGATAAAGTTTTTGGGAGTGTTATTTAATCATAAAGATGCTGTAGACATAAAATGTCTATAGTACCCAGTGAGTGATTATGAAGTCAGCACTCTGGTCCATGCATTGCCTGAATGGTGGGGTGGTGTAGTAGGGCAGGGCAGAGGAGGATGGAGGCTTGGAGAACATTCTCAAAAACTGGTAATGTGGCCTCCTATAGGCTAGCCTGCCCATCCCTTTCAAAGGGGGATGATGAGGATGATGGATCATTGTTACCACTGACTTTCACCTTTCACTTTGGGGGTCTGTGCTGCTCACAGTTGTCGCCTAAGGTCATTTCATTATCACCTTTTATGTTTTGTCGCAGTTTATCATAATGTGTCATTTGTCTCTAAATTTAATTTTTTTTTTTTTGAGTTGGAGTCTCACTCTGTCACTCAGCCTGGAGTGCAGTGGCATGCTCACAGCTACCACAGCCTGGGCTGGGCTCAGGTGATCCTTCCACCTCAGCCTTCCAAGTACCTGGAACTACAGGTGCACGACCACACCCAGCTTATTTTTTTTTTTGAGTTATTGTAGAGATGAGGTCTCACCAAGTTGTCCAAGCTGGTCTAGAAGCCCTGAGCTCAGGCAGTCTTCTCATCTCGACCTCCCAAATTGCTGGGATTACAGTCTTGAGCCACTGTGGCCGGCCTCTCTGATTTTTATATATTGAAAATTTCAGAAGTCACTTAAAAGTCTCGAGAGTTCTGCAATCCTAAAATAAAGCAAAGGCTTGTCGTCCACAAGTATCAGAGTCTTCACACTTTTGTGACTACTAAAAAGCATGTTGCTAACAGTGAAATGCGAGCTGGTAGCCAGTGTCGTTCCTGGGTATAAAATGTGAAGCCCTTCAAATTAAATCTTTCTTAGTGGCGTATCCATAGACATGTATCTAGAAACTTTGGTGAAGCCAGTGTTTGTGTTTAATAACCTTTTTATTTTCTTCTTTGATTAGCATTTTCTTCTGTGTTAAGAAATGTGGACTCCTATGAGGTGCTGGAGGTGTGAATCATCTTGAAAGCTCTCCAGTCTTGTCTAGTTACCGCTGCAGAGGCACTAAGGAATTTACCAGAGAGAGATATGATGCAAATGGTTTATGAAATCTCAACATTTCCTGAGGTCATGACCGGTTATGAAAACTGTGAATGAACTGCACACCTGGAAGCTTTTCTTTTTTCTTTTTTTTAAGCTAACGACAATTTCTTCAGAGATGCCAATTGTTTGCCTTGAAAATTTTGCAAATTGCATTTCCATGCACATCTGCCCCAGGGCTTCCCAGTGAGGTTATTATACACAATCTGCAATTCAATAAAGGCTTTGTGCTCTCATGTATCTCCACAACCTCTGGTATATGAGCCTGTATGTGAAGCCTGAGTGCCTTTTTAAAAAACTGAATTCCACAGATGGAGGGGAGGTTTTCTTGCACACATGCAGCCTTTCTGTGACTGGTTCGTGAATAATCTCTAAACTGGTTTCATCCTTTTTAATGCAGCAGCAGGAGGGGCTTTCGGTTGCTGTTTCCTCCTCCCCTGTCCTGGACCACAATCTCCATTCTTCCCTTTTCTCAGCCCCGCCCATAACCACTGCAAGACTATGGAAGCTGACTCGGTGGAGCTGGGTTATCCACACTAGCCCAGTCTTACCTTTTCTCAAAAGCAGGGACTTCTGCTTGCTATACTAAGCAATGGAAGTGCTTCACTGTAGGTTGGGTGAAACAGCAAGTGACACAGTCGTTCCAATAGAGCAACGAGAATGGTTCTCTAGGGAGAGGAGTGAGGCAGGTTGATAGCCAGAGGGCAGCCCAAAAGCGTGTTGAATGGTGAGTCTTTTGGCTTACCTGCCTGGGACCTGACAGAATGGTGGTGAGGAAAATACTGGATAGCTTGCCTCAGGATAATCGCAAGCTGAGCTAAGGTGCCAGCCGTGCACAGACAATTGACTGGACAGCGAGACTGCGCTCAGCCTGATGGTCTGCTCACTTACACATCTGAACGGCTCTTCTAAAAAGCAAAACGTATCCTCAAGAGCAGCCCAGAAGTTTCTCACAGTAAACTAGAGAACGAGCTGAACGTACAGGACAGTTGATCATCAACCTGACGTGGTGAATTTACTTGACTTCACAGGTAGGTATGAGTATGTGTCTACTGTGAGGAAAGGTCATGCCTCCATACAAGGACCCAGGTGCCTTTCACTCCCAATCCCTTACAGCTTCCATAGTTGCCGATGTCAGTACTTTGATACGTGTCCTACATTTCTCCTGTGCATCTGCACACATCAGTATGATTTCCAGAGTCCTTTCTCCTTTAACATGGGTGGGCAGCTCCCTGCTGTCCACGCTGACTCACACCCACATCTGTTTCATCTCCATCGCACTGACCTGCATGCAGTTTGCTTTGGTGAATTGTTATGACAGTTCGAGGTTAATAAACGGATAGACTCTCAAGAAGTGTCTAGGTTTTCCATCTTATCTTGAACAGGGATTTTATAAAGTGTTGCTATTCGGTGGCACTTTTCTGAAGTGAGTTTACTGAGAAAACA